GTCCCGCCCATCGCATTAGCCCCGCCCCCGTTGGCGAATGGCGGGAGCTCCGGGACGCGCGGACACACGGACACACGCACGGACACGTAGAGGGACACACGGACACCCACAGGGACACACAGACACGTGCACGAACACACGGACACCCACACGGACACGTGCACGGGCATATCCGTGGAGACAGGTACACATGCATTGGCCCACGGACACACACACAGACACACAGACACACAGACACTTGCTGTGATATGCAGGCGCACGCATGGCCACATGGATACATGCATGGGCACACGGACACACACGGGCACACGTGTGGGCACATGGATCCATGTGCAGGCACATGGACACACACGTGGACACACAGATACACACACTGGCATATAGACCCACGTGTGCGCACATGGACACACACACATGCTTGCACACACGCACGGACACACACATCACGCCTGCACACGTGCATACACGTGTGTACACACACGTGCATACATGTGTGCACACACACCCACACACTCGCTGCCCAGGCTGCGTGTGGGAGACGTGGCAACTGCTTCTCCCCAGTTGCAGGAGCCTTTATTGGTGCAGGCCCCTGGGCTCTCCCGTAGCTGCGGTGCCGGCGCAATATCTCCTCACCCCGCAGCACCTCCTAACCCCACGGCGTCCCCCTGTCCCACCATGTCCCCCTGCTCTGGGGTGTCCTCCTGCCCTGCAGCGTCCCCCTGTCCCACAGTGTCCCCCTGCCCTGCAGCATCCCTCTGTGCTACCTATGCTCACAGGCGCCGTGTGCCAGTTGCTGTGGGCAGAGCCCCAGCGTGGCTGCAGCACCCAGTGGTCCAAGTGCCCCACAACCCGTGCACCGGTACAGGTGGCACCTCTGCCCACTCCGAAGTGCCGCCAGCCCAGCATCCTGGTGCCGCGTGGGTGCCGAGCCCTCCTGGGCCTCTCCGGGAGCTACACTGGGGACACCCTGTGGGGCCACAGATCGCGGGAATCTTCATTCCGACAACAAGGATGCAACTCGTCCCGCATGTGGAGGTCCCCCTTCTGCTGCTAGTGCTTCTGCCGTGGAGAGCAGGGGGTCCCATAGGCGCTGGGGCCCAGTGCCCGAGGGGCAGGACCCCTGCCCGGGGGCGCTGCTAGTGCTGCTGGCCGCGGCCCTTGACATGCCGCGAGCCCGTCACCACGGTGGTGGTGATGGTGATCTCGTTGACCATGAGCCCCCCAGTGCCATACGAGTCAAGATGGGCCTCGCGCTGGTACTTGCAGAGCTGCTTGGTGGAGAGCAGCTCCCACACGGACACGCGCTGCTCCTGGAAGGGGCGCACCGTGATGTAGGAGCCCTCAGTCTGGAGGAGATCCACGATCTGCTGGGGAAGGGCAGCCACAGGCTCTTCCTTGCTGCGTGCAGCCAAGGTGGAGAGGGTGTTGAGCAGCTCCTGCATGGGAAGAGCCCCATCGCGATACTGCTCCAGAAGCTCCTGCCTCTTCTCCTCAGGAATGTTCCTGGAGTGGAGCAGGTCCCACACAGATACCTGCCTGCCCTGGGACTCATCTAGTGCCATCTCAACTGTGGTAGACTGCAGGGTTTGCTCCCAGCTCCTGTCTTGCTGCAGGTGGGAGTGCTCAGCTATGGTTGTTCCCTCCACGCCTGCACCACTCGTGCTTGCTGACTGCTTGGCTCCTGCTGTTTCTGATTTGCTTACGATGGTGCTGACAACGGCCTTCACCTGCTCCAGGGTTAGCTCTCCTGCCTGGTAGAGCTCCAGCAGCTCCTCTCTGTTCTGCTTGGGGATGTACTTGGAGTAGAGCAGGTCCCACACAGAGACCTTGTGTCCTTGGAACTCCCCCACATCCAGGTCAACCGTTGTGGTTTTCAGGGCTCTTTTCCATGATTCCTCTTTGGGAGAATGGGCATCCTTGTCTTCTTCTGCTTTCCCAGTGTCCTTGCTGGAAGTCTTCACAGTAACTTGCATTTTCCTGCTTGTAGAGTCTTTCTTCTTAATGAGGGTACTGACAACAACCATTAACCGCTCCAAGGTCAATGTCCCCTTCCAATACAGTTCCAGAAGCTCCTGCCTCTTCTCCTCAGGAATGTTCCTGGAGTGGAGCAGGTCCCACACAGATACCTGCCTGCCCTGGGACTCATCTAGCACCATCTCAACTGTGGTAGACCGCAGGGTCTGCTCCCAGCTCCTGTCCTGCTGCAGGTGGGAGTGCTCAGCATCTGTCACGGTCATTCCCTCCACGCCTGCACCGCTCACACTTGCTGACTGCTTGGCTCCTGCTGTTTCTGCCTTGCTTACGATGGTGCTGACGACGGCCTTCACCTGCTCCAGGGTTAGCTCTCCTGCCTGGTAGAGCTCCAGCAGCTCCTCTCTGTTCTGCTTGGGGATGTACTTGGAGTGGAGCAGGTCCCACACAGAGACCTTGTGTCCCTGGAACTCCCCCACATCCAGGTCAACCGTTGTGGTTTTCAGGGCTCTTTTCCATGATTCCTCTTTGGGAGAATGGGCATCCTTGTCTTCTTCTGCTTTCCCAGTGTCCTTGCTGGAAGTCTTCATAGCAACTTTCCTGCTTGTAGAGTCTTTCCTTTTAATGACAGTGGTGACAACAGTTATCATCTGCTCCATGGTTAAAACCCTGCTTCGATAGAGCTCCAGAAGCTGCTGCCTGTTCTCCTCAGGGATGTACTTGGAGTGGAGCAAGTCCCACAGGGAGACCTGCCTGCCCTGCAGCTCACCAGCAGACAGGTCAGTGATGGTGGACTGTAAGATGTTATCTAGTTCTGCATCTTCTGTTGAAAACGCATCTCCATTTTCCTCTGTCCATACTGCCTCCTTGTGTGGACTTCTGACATTTGCCCTAAGTGCCGTATTTGCAGCTTCTGTTTGGTTTATGATGGTGGTGACCACAGCAGCCACCTGCTCGGTTGTCAGCATCCCAGCTCTGTAGAGTCCCAGCAGGTCCTGCCGCTGCCCTTGAGGGATGCGTTTGGAGAAGAGCAGATCCAACAAGGAGATTTTTTTCCCCTTGAGCTCACCAGCAGTTACATATATGATCGCAGACTTTAAGGACTTTTTCAAGTGATGCTCCTGGGAGCCTGGATCCTGAGCCACCTGCAGCTCCACCTCATTGCTGGGCGTTGCTGTGGCTGAACTCAGATCCCCGTTTTCCTTTTCTGCACTGGTGATGATTGTGGTGAGGATGGTGATGATCTCTGGGATCGCCACTGTCCCCGCCTTGTATTTCCTCAGGAGCTCCTCTCTCCAGTGTTCAGGGATGTAGCGAGAGAAGAGGAGCTCCCACACGGTGACGCTCTGGCCCTCAAAGAGCCCCTCGCTGACGGTGGTGCGGGCAGCCTGCAGGGCTTTGCGGGCCTCCTCGGTGAGCTGGTAGAGCACGGAGCCCTTGTCCATGAGCTGCAGCATGAGGAGCCCCGTGTCCGGGTCGGGGATGCAGCGGCGCAGGAGCTGTGTGTAAGTGAGGTTCTCATGCGTGTTGGGGTCGAAGCAACTTCTTGTTTGATTCTTGGGGTTAGAAAGAAACTGGCTTGTCTCCTGGTCGAAGTAACCCTGCTGGCAGGCCACGTCCACGGGGATGCGCTGGCCATGCGCAGGGTCAATGATGCCGCCAGTGGCGATCTGGGCCTCGAGCAGGCGTACAGCGTGTGCCTTCACTATGAACTCCTTCTTCATGGCCTGGAAGAGGGAGATCTTGTGTCCTGTGTACGGCTCTGTGTATCCTGTCACTGCCCCCTCCGCAGACAGCAGCTTCTCGTAGAAATCTCTGCCTATGAGCCCAGTGGTCAAGGCCTCTTTCACCGACAACGTCTTGTTGCTCACAGGGTCAGTGAGGAGCCCTGACGCAGCCTGTGCCTCCAGCAGAACCAGGGCCGTGCCTGGCGTCAGGATCCCCCTCATCATGGCACTGTAGATGCTCATCTTCTTATTCTTGGTCTGGATGAAGACTCCAGCTATGAAGCTACTCGCTCCCCAACCCGTCTCCTTGTGTCCACGGGCAGCTATGTCACTTCCCATGTTGTTGGTCTTGTTCTGAGGGTGTCCACTCATGCTCTGCAACATCTCTGGAGATGCTTCGTTGCTGTGGGGGCAGCGTGCTTGACTGCAATGAGAGAAACAAAAATGTGGTAAAACGAAGGCGCTCCTGCAGTTTTCCTGCTGTGTGTGAAGAACAGCATCTCCCTGGTCGTGGCAGCAGGGGTGCAGGGGGAAACTGGGAGGAGGTTCTGGGCATTGCTGCCATCCATGCCTCTCGGTAGGAATGTCAGGGCCAAGACTGCCCCATTCCCAGCTCCATTTGAAGAGCAGATGAGGGGTTTTCAGAGCAGCAGCATGAGCCTGGCCAGGTCATTTGCTCACTCTCCACTGTGTGATTCCCTGCATAGCTGCACATAGCTGCACACAGGAGCATCAGCACCAGTGACATTGGTGACCTGGTTCCTTCCGACCTCTACAAGGGGCTGCCTGGTCTCCCAGGCACTAACCCTGCCTTGAAGCTCTGACCTGCCAGACCTTCCCGCGTGTTCCCTAATGACTCAGCCTGGTGCTGCTTGTCTCCCTGTGCCCTGGGCTGTTTGGGGCAGTGGCCATTTGGCAGGTGCAGGTCTTGCGCCCGAGCCGCGACGTCCTTCGCAATCCCGCCCTGCATGGGCAACACATGGGGCCATGGGAGCTGTGTCCATGGTAGACAGAGGCTGTTGGGCTCCACATGCAGTGGTGGATCACAGCCGGAGAGATCCATTCCAGGCCGTGTCTCTGCTGTGGCTCAATGTGCGTGGGTCTCTCCCCATCCTGCAACACCCTGCTGTCCTCCAAAACAGCAAGTTGCTGCCTCCTGGCATTATCCCAACAGCAGGTTGGCCCATAGCAACACCCAAACTGCGTGTGTGGATTTTCTGGGAATGAGTTGGTTGGCCCAGGCCAAAAGCCACCGCAGGGACTATTCTGACCAGCCTGGGGACAAGGGCGGGCTCAATGTGAGATTTTGTCCCACTGCCACAGGTCTGAGCTGTTCTCCCTGGATATGCAGGGAAGGTGCTCCAGAAATAGGATGGTGGGGAGGGATCCTGCCTTCAGCTGGGCCTTCTGGGCTTCCTGCGCTGGATTTGCCTCTGCTGTGTGCTCCAAGGGCTACCACAGACCCACGGACCTGTTAGTCACACCCGCAAACCCAGCTGTGGTATCGGCCTGACCACATCCTGCAGCACCAGTGACTGAATCACACCTCGTGCAGAAAGCATTTTCCCAGGGCGAAAACCTAGCGCCTGTGCTATGGGAATAGTGGGGGTTAAATAATTGCTAGCGTAGGTAAAATGACAGATAAAATAGGTATCTCTAGAAACCGCAGGGTCACAATGAACTGGGAACAGGTATCTCGGGGACCTTGCTGTGAGTGTCTGCTTGCAGTTGGTCTCTTCCGTTTATACCAGCACTTTGTAATTAGTGTGGCTGGTTTTTGGTCAATGCAATGGGTGCCCTTGGCCATAAAAATGCAGCACCCTTAGCCAAAATGTCGATTTTGTTGTCTGAAATGTTTTAAGGGAAGCCAGCTGTGGCCAAGCAGCCATGCAAAGTCACATCAAAGGTCTCTGAAGGCCAGTTCTTGTTTCCATCTTCAGCTGTAAGTGGACAACAGGGGAAGGGTGAAGAACAGGGAAACGTCCATACTATTTCCCCTGCTCCTGGGTCAACATCCAGCTCTTTTCAGCTCAGTGGATATCCTGGGCTGGGCACATTTTGCACCCATTTGGTAATCTTTGAGGAGCCTGTGCCATGCAGGTACCCAGCCTCTTCGTCAAACCTTTAAACTTCCAGCATCCACAACATCTCTCGGTGAAGAGCCCACGGTCTTGTCAAAAGAGCAAAACCCAAACATGAAACATTTCCCTGGGAACACCCGTCTCCCATAAAGCTGCAGTGACTGACATTAATGATATGCCTAACTCATTAATAAACAGGGTCATGGCTTCGCTCTCCGGCTGTTTACCTAACTGGTCCGGGATTCTCTGAGTCATTGCTTTGATCCATTTAAATATGGGGCTGGTGCAGGTGCAGATGGGCCGGGTGGGGGAGAAGCGCATGCAGCGGGTGTCGCTCAGCCACTGCCTCGTGGGCTCTGCTGGCAGCAGCAGCCCCATCCATCCCACAGCCGCAGCCCTGGCCATCCCAGGGACACAGCCCCAGCCATCCCATGGCCACAGCCCCAGCCATCCCAGGGCCACAGCCCCATCCCATGGTTACAGCTCCGTCCATCCTGCAACCTCAACCTCATTTGTCCCACAACCGCAGCCCTGTCCGTACTGTGGCCTCAGGCCCTGTCTGTGCTGTAGCTGCAGCCCGTCTGTCCTGTGGCCTCAGTCCTGTCCATCCTGTGGCCTCAGCCTTACCCGTTCTGCGGCCTCAGCCCCATCCATCCCATGGCCACAGACACAGAGGACGTTTCTCTGCCCTCCTCTGTTGCAGCAGAGCTGGACTCTGGTGCTAGCTCTGTCACCTGCTTGGGTGGCGCTGGGTCGGGGTGACGCAAAGCGCTGCGCTACCCCAGGAGCGGGTGGCACCGCTGTAGGACGGGGCCCGTCGTGCCAACACCCTGCCCAGCAGAGACGTTGCACAACCAGCGGGTATCACTGCGGGTCTCTAGCCAGGATGCCCGATGCTGGCGCAGAGGCTGGCGGGGGCCCGCACGGAGAGGGGGCCGGGGGCCCCTGCACCGGGCATTCAGCGCGGGCATGACCGTCCCTGCACTCGGCAGCGGCGCGGGCAGCGCCAGGCCTGGGCGCTCTGCGGCATCCCCGCTGCTCCGTCCTACCTGTGCTGGCGTCTCTCCGCGGGTGCTGCTCCTGCTGCCGCCGCCTTGCACACAGGATGAGCAGCTGGGGCAGCTGCTCCATTTAAATCCTTCCCTTCCCCGCCCTGGGGCCGACTCCCCGGCCCTGCCCTGCGCCTGGCTGCCTCCAATGCAGCCCGTCCTGTGCTGCTGCCAGGGCCACCTGTCCCCATCCCTTCATCTTGTCTCCATCCCCTCACCTCATCCCCATCCCCTCATCTCATCCCTATCCCTTCACCTCCTGCCAGGCAGGACACTGCTGTGACTCATGCCGGGGCAGCCCCACTCCAGCTGTCAGTATCTGCGACCTCTCCAGCAGAGCCAAGAGTGAACATCCCTCCTTTGCAGGGGTCAGACTAGATGATCTCCAAATGTGCCTTTAAACTTCAGCCATTCTGTGATACCTGCAAAAACTTATTTGTGCCATTTAAAAACTCTTCCAGCTTTGTGCAGACATGCATGTGTTCTCTCATTAACTCGTGAGGTTTCCTTTCCTATTGCCCCCGAGTGTCACGCAGTTGGTCTTTGCCCCAGGTCTCCTTTGCTGCTCTCCCCATCCTGGGCACACGGGCTGGCCCGTAGCAGAAAACCTGCCCCATGCTGATACTGAAATGCAGGGCGAAGAGCTCTGGTGCTCCGTCTGCTCCGCAGTGCAGCCCCCTGCATGGCATGAGTCTCTCCCAGCACACTGTACCGCTCGTAGCTGGACACCCCACGGGTCTGGGCTGGCGAACCTGCCTTTGCACTGGCTGAGCCTTGCGACAAGACCATGAGCGGTGGCTGCCCTCATATGGCTGCTCTCTGCCCAAGACTTCTGCATGTGGGTAGGACAGACCATGTCCCGTGAGGCAGAGCTCTGCTTCAGCACGCCGGTTTCACATGGATCGTTTTGGTGAGCAATGGCTCACACGTGTGCTTGGGGCGCCTGCGTGCGTGTGCAACTGTGCGTGCCCACGCGAGCTGCTCGCCTGGCCGTGGCGCTTGGCGACCCTGCACATGTGCCTGCGTGTGCCTGCGTGCAGCCTGTGGTGCAGCCACGCGCCCCGTGAGCGCGTGCGGGGGCGCGCGCGACTCGATGTCCCCGCGTGGAGGCAGCTGCTGCCAGCCTCTGCCCGCCCTCGCGCATGTCCTGCTTCGGGTGCACCTTCCTGCCGGGG